CTGGGAACACTGTCTCCTCTGGAGCCCCCCAGGCATACCCTGGGAACGTGTTAAACACACACATGCTCAGGCTCCAGCCTAGACCTGGTGAATCTGAATCTCTGGAACTGACCCAGAAATGTATTTAACAGGTCCTTGGAGTTTTGAGGCCCACTGAGGTTTACAAAATGGCTGAGTTTGCTGGGTTCAAGGAAGCTGCAGGGCCCTCATGACTGAGCTGACATGACTGAGTCTGCTGCAGGACCCCATGACAGCTGCAGGCCCTCAGACTCATACAGAGGAGTCACACATACCCTTCCAGATGTAGATTTTGCCACAGAGTCCGTTGTCCAGAACAAAGCAGTCATCTGGAATCAGCAGTTCAGAGGCAAAGGGGCTAGAGTCAGCCACCTTGGTGAGATTCATCTGTCCAGTGGCATCAGAGACCTGGGGAGGAAGTATAGCCCCAGTGTGACACACACACACACATACACACACACACACACACACACACACGCACACGCACACGCACACGCACACACGTGAAGTGAAGGAATGGGTTACCCAGGCCCTCCCCAGTTGTTTTTCCCAACAGTTCTGAGCAACAGGCAGGAAGAAGGCCTCCCAAAGGCAAGCTCCAGACAGCCCCTCTCTTGTCTGTCAACTGCAGTTCAGAGGCTGCAGCTCCCTTAGGGAAAGAGGTGACTTCCACATTACAAGTAACTGCACAGGGTTCAAGTAAAGGCAAGCTCCGCCTTAGCTTCCAACCTCCTCCACCAACGAGCTGAAAGTGTTTATCTCCTCAGAGGCCTGCCATCTGCCGACTCCCACCCATCCCTCCTCCGACCTCTACAAACCTACCTGGTTCCTGGCCCAGCCTTCCCACACCCTCCTCCCCCCTTCAGCTCCATGCCTCTGCCACCGGCAGATGACTGGTTGGTCCCCCGCAGGCCTGAAGTGCCCACCTTATACAGGGCCGCAGCCTGGGCATTGGTCTTATCAGCCGTGAGGTCTTCCTCAGGGTTGCCCTCCTTCAGAGCAGGCTTGGGGCCCAGAACCTGAGGAACCAGACAGGATTACTGGGGCTTCTACACCCAAATTCTTCAAGTCACCACATCCAGGGCCACCTGTGTCCTGTGCTAAAGTGGAGGGCAAAGCAATGGATCCAGCCTGCCCAAGGCTGTACCCACTCAGAGGAACCCTTTGTCTCCGTCACATAAGGGTACCCCATGCACGAGCACAGGGCTGAGCAGGGCTCCGATGGCCCCATCACCCTCTCAGCAGCCTTCATCATCCCAGATTATCACTGTCTCTCCTGGCTACGTCCAGACAGCAGCTCCCCTCTGCCCACCCCAGTGTTCCCAACCTGAATCATCTCGGCTGGCTCCTCTCCATCGGTGATAATTTCCACCTGGGCCTTGCCCTGCCGCTCGCTGTCCCTGATGGCCATGGCCAGGTCCCTTGCCTTGTTCCGTTCCAGGATGTTGGCCTTTGCACCACACCAGGCGAAGATGTTCTGCAGAGAAGCCAGACAGGCCCATCACAGCCAGTAGCCTTTGTCCTGTCCCCACTGAAAAACGGTCCCCACAGTCAGTGCAAGCAAGAAGGCCGTGCCAGTGTGGGGCATAGTAATGGCAGCGCACACCTTTGATCCGAGCACTCACGAGGCAGAGGCTGAAGCAGGCAGATGTCTGTGTATTTGAGACCAGGTCTACATAGTGAGTTCCAGGACAACCCGGGCTACACTGAGACTCTAGCTCAAAAGCAAACAAAACCCAAGAAGTCAGGGCCACTCTCCAGAGGCCTCCGAGAAAGGGAAGAACAATGCCTGTAAGAGTGCCTCCTGCACTGGAGAGATGACTCAGTGGTCAAGAGTATCCACTGCTCTCCGGGGCACCTGCTTTCTGAGCCCCCACGATGGGGAGCTGACAACTGCCTGTAACTCCAACTCCGGCGCCCTCCCCTGGCCTCTGCTGGTATCTGCATTCACGACACACAGACAAATTTTTTAAAAACGTTATCAAATTACAAAAAAAAAAAATTCAAAAAAACATGTTTTAAGAAAGTTTGACGCTTTCTGTTAAGCCCCATTTATACGCTTTGGGCTGCATGCAGTCAATGGCCGTGGGTTGGACAGGCCTGGAACCTAACGGGAGGAAGCACACGAGATATGCATACAGGTTCGGGATCGCTGTATCTATGAGACTGGATGTCTGAGGTTGGTGGTGCCTCCGTGGCACTGCGAAATAATCCCTATAGGTCTAAGGGCTGGCTGACTGGCTGGGGATGTCTTCTTCAGGATGCTCACCAGCACGGGTCCTCACTGCTCCCCTGCCTCCCAGGCTGTCTTAAAGCATGGTGCCGGTACAGTGCTCAATCTCGGCCACCTACCCACCTGACCCAGGTCCAGGATGAAGCAGTCCCCGGTGTTGAAGCTGTCCCAGCTCAGCGCCCTCTCGGTGGCACGGATGTTTTTCTTCCCCTTAACTTGGTAGAGTTTCTTGATGGCTGCTGGGGTGGCCCCCGAGTTTGTCTTGTGAAATGCGGACTCCACACCACCTTCCTGCAACCCAGAAAACCGGGCTCAGTGGCCTCACAGGCACCCAGCGCCTTCTACACTGCATCGCACGAGGAGATGAAAGAAGGTGGAAACCAATCCCCAAGGGTGCCCAGGCCTTCCGATGGATAAGACAGCCAGAAACAGGAGCTGACTCAGAGAAAAGTCACGGGAATGAAGGCCTGGAGGTGGGTCTCACCTGGTACTTGATGCCACACGGGAAGTAGCTCATGAAGAGGTCCGACTCGTTCCCTTGAACCTCACGGTGTTGCACAGGCCGCTCCCCAAGGAGGGTGTTGAGGTGCACGGCCAGCACAGCACAGGCTCCCTGCTCATCCCGGGATGACTGCTGGCCTAGGATGAAGGTGAGAGGTGATCGGCAAGGTCCCCGAGACCCCCTGCAACCTCCGTCCCTGCCTCGGCCGAATTCCATCGCCTTTACCTATCCACAGGTGCAGATGGGAGACCTCTTCCGGGCCATTGTGAAGCACTAGGTAGGAGTCCCCGGAGAAGAAGATGCCATGGTTCTCTCGTGCTAGGGGCACAGGCTTCAGCTTCTCCACCCGCCATATGTGTAAGCCTAGGTCTTGGACTGAGGCTGGGAATGGGGAGCCACTGTAGAAAGAGATGGGTGCTGGTGGGCTCAAGCACAGATGCTTGGGTCTGGGTATAGTGAGAGCAGAGACATGGGGCACACTGCCTACCTCTGCGGGATGGGTGTGTACATGCTGCTTCCAGACCTGAGAAGAGAAACCATGATCACCACGAGGGTCCTAACAGACCTCTCTCGTTGGTCTCGGGGAACCTTCCAGGTGGCCAAGTAGTCTCCCTTTGGTTTTTTGAGGCACTGTCTTATGTAACCTGAGTGGTCCTCACAGCTGTCAGGAGCTGAGGATGACCTGGGCTGAGGTGATGCTCAACAGCTAACACGCTTGCACGGCACGTGTGCGGATCAGAGTTCGAATCCTCAGAAACCACATACGTGTTGGGCGAGCTGCCCACCTATAATTCCAGTTTCAGAGGACAGAAACAGAGGATCCCTGAAGCAAATTGAAGAACAAAACTAGCCACATCGGCAAGCTCTGGATTTGGTTAAGAGACCCTGCCTCAATGAATAAGATGGAAGAAGAATCCTGACATCAACCTTGGGCCTCCACATGCATACACACACATGCTATTAGACCTATTCACGTGTCCACACATGCAGACATGCACAAACATGACACGCACACACACACACAAGTAGGAAAAGTATTTACAAAATAAAAATTTTAAATTAAAAAACACAAAACTTAGTGATCAAATGATGCTTACTTATGTTGGGGATGTAAGGTTGTTCCAACATCTGAACTTAACCAATATATACACATTAACAAGTCTGTGTGACATTAGTATATCTTTATGGCTATCAATATAATACACCACATTTACAAGTATATGTGATATAAATATATCCTTATGAATAGTCATATCAATGTGTATACAGAAAGCATTCAGCAAAACTTTACATCCACTCCTGATTTAGAATCAACAAACAAACAAAATAAGCCACCTGGTGCTGCAGAGATGGCGCAGCGGTTAAGAGTACCTGTTATTCTTGCAGAGGGTCTGAGTTCAGTTCCCAGGAGCCAACCATCATCTAGATTCCAGTTCTGGGGGCTAAATGCCCCCTTCTGGTCTCCAAGGGTACTACATGCTCATGGTGCACAGGTGTACTTGTGGGCAAAGCTACCCATACACATTAAAATAAAAATAAGTAACTCTTTAAAAAAGTAAGCTAAATATGCTAGCACAGACTTGCAATGCCAGCACTTGGGAGATCAAGCCAGGGAGATCATGAGTTTTAGGTCAGCCTGAGTTGGGCAAGAAGACCCTGCCTCAAAAACTAAAAGATAAAAGAAGAAAAGGAGGAGGAGGAGGAGAAGGAAGAGGAGGAGGAAGAGGAGAGGAAAAGGCCAATTATGACAGCACATGTGACCGTAGCCCCAGCAATGGGAAGGGAAAGGCAGAAAGTCCAGATGCTCAGGGACATTCAGGTTCTGGGTTAGCCTGGGCTACATAAAACTCTATCTTAAAACAACAGAAAATGCCTGGTATGACAGTGTACCAACATACCAGAAACAGAAGCAGGAGATTCAGAAGTTCAAGGCCATCCTTGGCTACCTAGTGAATTCTGAGCCAACCTGGGCTATAAAACACTCCATCAAACAAGAAAAAGGAAGAAAGAAAGGAAAATAGACAAGGGACCTGTGACACAGGGGAAAGGTGCTTGCTGCACAAGTCTGATGAACTGACTTTAATCTCAGAACCCAAGTAAAGGTGAAAGGACAAACAGACTCCCTGAGGCTGTCTTCAACCTCCACATTTACGCCATACATATATACATGCAGACACACCCATACCAACAAAAATGTTATTTTTTAATCTAAAATCTAAAAAAAAAAATCTTAACTATTAAACAATAGATAAAGAGCTGGAGATGCATGCAGCTTAACTGGTAAAGCACTTGCCTAGCAGGCATGAAGTCCTGGGTTCAAGTCCAGCGCTGCAGAAACTGGACCTGAGGCTCATGCCTGTAATCTCAGCGCTTGGGAGGTGGAGACAAGAGTTCAAGATCACCCTCAAAGATTTTGAGGGCTACTCGGAATCCATGGGACCCTGAGAAAAGAGTGAGAACTCGGCAAGGTGGAGCAGCCTGGAAGCCTGTAATCCCAGCACTCAGAGGCAGAGGCAGGCGGAGCTCCGAAAATTCAAGGCCAGCCTGGTCTACACAGTGGGTTCCAGGTCAGCCTGATCTACATAGTAGGTTCCAGGCCAGCCTGGTCTATGCAGTGGGTTCCAAAGCAGCCTGGTCTACATAGTGGGTTCCAGGCCAGCCAAGGAGAGGAAGAGAGAAAGAGCAGAGTTTTTAATTCTCTAAATCTACTAAAAACAAAACTTTCATGGGATTTTCTCCCTCCTAGTCAACGCTCTCCCAGGGGAACTGCACTATTCTGGGCATCAGCTCTCCCTTTTATGAGCCCAGCATCTTCCAGTTCCAGAATGATGAATGCCATCTTTGTTTTGTGAGTCAGTAGAGAAAATATTTCTTGGGCAAAAGGAATTGTAGTAAAGGGAGAATGCAAAAGGCAAGCTGTTGTTGTCGTTTTTAATTTCAGAAAAATACAGTCATAACAACTTCACCCTCCCTTTACTTTGTTCCCAATGGTAGTTGGCTCCTCTTTTGACCTCTGCGTATGGACAATGGTACATGTACACATGTGCTCGAGTGTACATGTAGAGACACTAAATAAGTAAACAGATGTGAAGAAAGGATTGGCTTTCCCTTCCACCATGTGAGTTCTGGGGGTCAAACTCGGATGCTTAGCCCCAGCAGCAAGTGCTCCCTTACCACTGAGCCATGGCTCAGAGCTAAGGCATTTTGTTTGCTTGCTTGCTTGTTTATTGTAAGGCTTTTAAAAGAAGAGATCACATGTCTCCAACACTTAATTCAGTATGTGTTTCCATCTGGTGAGTTACTGGGAGAGGCGCCCTGAGGGACACGGAGGGTGAGAGTAGGAAGCACACCCTGCAGACTGGAGCTGCAGGAGCACAGGGGCGACTCTGCGGTCAGGGTGGCTGGGTCAGCAGGGACTGTTGAGTCGGCACAGGAAGCAGAGCTGGAGACGGAGCTCGGGTGAAAGACTTGAAATGCCCGCGGTGGAATTACCACTTTCCTTTTCCATATCAACCTCCCAAACAGAGGGTCACGCTGACACCCACAAACGCCATGGGCTGTGTGCACACCCCCTGCTATGGGCAGCCTAGCCTGTGAGTCAGGTAGGAACTGATGAGTCTGCCCCAAACCAAAGCTCAGGAATGAGAGACTGAGCCTGTAACCTCACTGCTTTCAGTTCCTTGTTACCAAAATGAGAAACTGGGCCGTGACTCAGAGTCAAGTGCCCTCCACTCCAAGTGCCTGTGGGGTTCTGATGAGGGGATTCAGCTCTCTGCTCCTTCCCGATCCTCGTGAGTGCTCATTACAGCACCTCCTCAAGACTGATGGTCCGGCTGGCAAGTCTAATGCCTTCAGTTCCAGCCCCAGGACCCACAGGACAGAGGAGAGAACCAGCTCCTGGAGTTGCCCTCTGACCTCTGCACGCATGTCATGAAACATGCACATGTACATACACAAAAATAAATAATAAAAGTAAAAAAAAATAACCAACCACCTTACAGAAGTGCAAAGACTCTGGCTAAACTCCATCACTCCATCTAAGCCTTGTAGACCTTTCTCCGTACTTCCTCGCAAAATCTAGTTGCTGCCAAAGATCCCTGAAACATGGGTTGGGCTGCAAGTCCCCATAATCCATATCCCATCATCCTTTATGCAGATCTGGTTCTTCAACCTGCACCCCCCACATGATGTCTGCTCATCCTGGCTATCTTCCACAAGAAACCTGCTAGGTTAGTTTGACAGAACCTCCCCCCCTTCTCCTGCCCTTGGCGCTTTCTTTTAGTCATTCTCCACGCCCTGACTCTTCCCTAGCTCCTGGACTGTGAAAGCCTTGTTGGCTCACACTTCTTAGGTGTTGAGACTAGTCTTTCTCCCACACAGCAAGGGCCTGGTTACTTATTGTGGCGGTCCTGTTATAGCCTTCCTTATGGTATCAAGTATCAGAGAATAAGTTTTTTTTTTCTTTTATTTCTTTTTTCTTTTGGGATAGGGTCTTTTATAGCCTGAGCTAGTTTTGCGTTCACTAGGTAGCCACGGGAGACTTTGGACTTCTGATCCTCCCGCCTTCTCCACAGTGCTGGATCACCAGGATGGATTTACGCAGATGGAACCCAGGTCTGTGTGCATGCTAGGTGGAACTCTGCCAGCAGCTACATAACCAGCCCCTAAGTGTATCAGCAAGCCAGGACACTCTCCCCAGGCTGGAAGTGTTTTCCATAGGTGTTCAAAGTGATCCTCATAGTACATGAGGTACGAAAACAGGCTCTGGAACTCGAAGGAGAGGAAGGCTTTTAAAACTGATAGCCAGGTGTGGTGGCGCATGCCTTTAATCCCAGCAGAAGCAGAGGCAGGAGCCTCTGTGAGTTCGAGGCCAGCCTGGATACAGAGTGAGTTCCAAGACAGCCAGCACTGTTACACAGAGAAACCCTGTCTTGAAAAAACAAAACCAAACAAATAACAAAACCAACAACCTCCTGACAAAGCTAGGCAGATTGGTACAAGCCTAACTTGTTAATAAACTGAGGCAGCTGTATTAGAAGTTTAAGACCAGCCTGGGCTGCAGAGTGTGTTCAAGGCCTGCCTGTGTAACACAATGAGGCCAATCTCAAGATAAAAGGTAAACAGAGAACCGGGAATATAGTTCTGTAGTACAGCGCTCACCTAGCATGCCTGAGACTCGAAGTTCAATTCCTACTCCCAAGGGTAGGGAAGTGGGGTACATGAGGAACACTGGGCTAGCTGAAACCAGCCTGCATGGGTGCAGGCTGGGTAGTTGTGAGAGAAGCCCTAGATCCTGACTGCCCCCCATCAGTTCCTGATCCTGCCTGCATCCAGGCTTTCCTGAGGAAGGGGCTTGCCCGGCAAACAACCTTCCATTCTTGTCTCCTGCTTTCAGCCCTTTGCCTCCTCGGTGTGGTGCGTGCGCTGCAGCCCTCCATCCCTGTGGGTGCATGGCAGGACCCCCCACACACCACTATCTGAGGGATGATCGAGTACCGCAGCTCCTGTGGGAGTTTCCCAGCCCTCCCAGGCTTAGCACACCTTCTGCAGGAGGGGAAGACAGAGATGAAGAACAGTCTGCCTTGTGGCCTAGCCAGAGGGCTCAGGGAAGTGGGGGAGCCATCACATCCAGTGAAACCACAGAACTGCTTCCTCCACGTAAGACTGACACAGTAATCACAGACCAGCATTAGGCGCCTCAGGGCTTAGTCCTCAGCACACAGTATAGATACCTCTTCCAGAGCACACTTCGTTGTCCTCTTCTTGAATGCTTCTGGTGATGGGGAGCTCACTGCTTCACAGGCACCCCCCCTTACCCCTCCTTGCTGAGGGGTTTATTAAAGGGGAGGTGTACAGGCCTGGGGAAGTCAGTGTGGAGAGAGAGAGAGAGAGAGAGAGAGAGAGAGATGGCACCAGGCAGTCTCTTTTATATATCTTCCTTTGGGAGTGGCAGGAGTGCTAGCACCAAACCCAATGTCAAGGGGCACAGCTAAACAACGTTCTATCTCTGAGCTACGTCATAGCTAGTCACCTCTGTTGAAGTCTTGTTTTCCCCACTGGGCCATAGCGGGACGTGAGTTTCAGGGCCTGGCCCTCTCCCTGAGACTATAAAGCACCTTTGGAGCAGGAGGAGGAGCTGTGTTCCACTGCCTTGATTTGCTGAGCCTCAGTTATCGGTGTAGATGAAACCAGAGGGCTAGCCCAGGATCTCAGCGCCGGGGGCACTGCTGGGAGCAGCCTTAAGGCAGAAAGGCAGGGGTGAAGGAACCCATCCGACTGTCCTGATTGTGGGGGAGGTGGCCAGTCTTGGCCCTTAGAATAACCTGATGGACACCCTGGGTGCTTAGAGGTGGGGGTCACTCCCACCTTCAACAATGTGCTTGACCCCATCAGTGACCTCACTGTGCACCAGTGACCCAGTACTGAGGAAAACCTGGGCTATTTTTGCCCTCCTCGGACTCCGATTCTCAACAGGTCACTTTGTTTGGGTGGAAGCATCACCTTAGCCTCTGGCATCCATAAACTCAAAGAGTCTGGGATGTTTGGATGGAAGTTCCATCCCAAGTCCCTCCCCCTGGGAGTTGCCTCAGTCCAGACTCCACCCCTGAGAAAGCCCGCCAAACAATGACCCCTCCCCAGAGATACTCAAGACCACTCCCTGCACTGGGTATTTAAACTGCCCCCCAGAGAACAAACACATGGTTTTTTGGTCTTCCTCCACCCCACCCAGTAGTGTTAGTATCCATTAAACGGGGGCTTTTTCTAATTCGGTTTGATTTGGTCTGATTTGGATTATTGCATGGGTGGAGAGAATTATTGGGACGCAAAAATTTTTCCCACTTCCCCTCACGGTCCGTCTTGCACCGTTAACTGTGAACTGAAATAGCACCAGCCCTAGGGAGGGAGGTGACTGTCCGCACAAGAAAGCAGGGACTTTCTGAACTGTGACCCATGCTCCTTAGAAGTGGGGACAGCAGTGGCTCTGGACACCCAGAACACTGCTCTTTCCCCACACACCAAGCAGACCGCACTCCCCACACCTCCGAGTCCACCTTCTTCTTTGTCCACACCATTCCCTGGATAGCCGGATAGCCCGCTGCTGGGGGCTGGCTGGCTGGCCCTCAAGTAGCTGGACCTACCTTGTCTCTTCCCAAGCCCCTTCAGTCCAGCTGTCTAGACCTAGGCCAATGCTATCTTGGGGACAGCCACTGCCAGATCTGAACTCACCCCCTGACTGACGGCCTTTGGGGATCTCTCAGAAGGTCTGACGCCACCTCCTACAAAGCAACATGAACCCAGATCCCCTAGTCCCTCCCTGCAGCTGGAATGCGCCCACCACCACCCAGCCTCTCCCACAGCTGCAGAACTGCAGTCAAAGGCCTCAGCCTGATTTATGCCTAGGGGCATCACTCCTGACTTCCCAGACCCTAGCAGCCAGCCCTCCCCCAACCAGTCCTCCCTGTCCACCCGAGAGGGTCCAGCTAGCCCATCTCCAGGAGCCCATTCCACTTTACCTCTCCACAGGCCTTTTCTTCTCAGACTCTTCTCAGCTTGCCCCACCCGCGCTTCTCACTTCCCTCTTCTCCTCGAGTTGTCCCACCCACCTGCCCCACCCAAGGGAAGGCTCAGGGCTCTGAGGTCTAAGGACTCAGGGAAGCAAACGCTGGTAGAAAGCTGTTTCTCAGACGTGGCCACTGGCAGGCTAGAGCCCACCCGTCTCCTCACAGCGGCCTCGGGCAAGGCAAGTTCTGAACAACTTCAAATCAGCCGAGCAAGGAAGGCCCCATTCCACTCACCAGCCCGGGCAGGCACTTCGGCACAGATGGCACAGAGGAAGCCGCACTCCCTGCTGTGGCTGGTTAGTCACATTTCCTGGGTTGGGTCACTGGCTCTGCTCTAGCTTCTCCTCCTCCCCATGACTAGTTTGTCTCATTACCACGAGTACATGTGGTTTTCCTTTTCTTTTTTTGGGGGGGGGCAGGAGGCGGCAGGGGTTTCGAGACAGGGTTTCTCTGTGTAGCTTTGGAGTCCATCCTGGAACTCACTCTGTAGACCAGGCTGGCCTCGACCTCACAGAGGTCCACCTGCCTCTGCCTCCCGAGTGCTGGGATTGAAAGTGTATGCCACCTTTTTTTTTTTTTTTTCTTTTTTGAAGCGAAGTTCCAAGACAGTGTTTGGGGCCCTGACACACTCTGGTTGGTTTGGGAGTGTGTATATTTTCGTTTTGGTATTTTGTTTTCGAGACAAGCACTCATGTAGTCAAGGCTATCCTCTAAATTATGATGCAGCTCAAGCTGGCCTTGAACTCCTGTTTCTCCTGTCTCCTGAGTGCTGGGATTACAGGTGTGTACCACCATGCCCAACTGTCTGTGTGTCTGTTACTGAGACAGTCCTACTTTGGAGCCCAGGCTACTATGAAACTCAATATGTAGCCCAGGTCGGCCTCGAATTTATGACAACCCTCCTGCTTCTGCTTCCTGAGCACTAGGATTCCATATACCAAGACATCACCCCAGTTGCCTTGGCACATTTAATGCAGTCTCTCCATGCCCCAAATACCAAAGACTACCCCCTCAGCAGGTTGTGGTGCCTCACGTTTTTTTTTTTTTTAATTTATTTACTTTTATTTTACATACATTGGCATTTTGCCTACATGTATCTATGTGTGAGGTGTCAGATTTCAGAGTTATAGACAGTTGTTAGCTGCCATGTGGGTGCTGAAATAGAGCCTGGGTCCTCTAGAAGAGCAGTCAGTACTCTTAACCACTGAGCCATCTCTGCAGCCCCGGTGGCTCACATCTTTAATTCCAGCACTCAGGAGGCAAAGGAGGTGGAACTCTGAGGTCGAGGCCAGCCAAAACTACTAATCGAGGTCCAGGACAGCCAGGACCACACAGAAAAACCCTGTCTCAAGAAACCAAAATAAATAAATAAACAATGAAAGCATACGCTGTCCCCTCAGTCTGCTCTTTTCCCAGGTGGCCATTGTCACACAGTCTTGGCGCTGGGGGTCTAGGGGAGAGCGATAGAAATTAGTGTGGTCAGCCAGCAGGATGTGGTGGCACACACCCATCAAAGCAGCACTTGGTTGGCAGAGACTGGAGAACCAGAAGTAGAGAGTCACCCTCGGCTACATGGAGAGTTCAGAGCCAGCCCAGGGCACATAAGACCCTGGAACCCCTCCCGACCCCCTCAAAAAAGACGAAAATAAGCATGATCAAGCCAGCCAGAATTAAAGAACAAAACCATGTCTCAAAGAAAAAAGAAGCAGAGACAGAGGGAGTAGGGTTTCAGGCTACACCCAAGGCAACAGTGTCTCCTTGCAGTCACAGGACCACAAAATATAATCACTGGCCCCATGAAGGACCCTGGGGCACAGCCCGAAGACACATAGGAAGCAGGAGACTGAGCCAAGGAGGGCTCTGATCCCCTTTTGAATCTCTAACCTAGTGGTTCTCACCCTTCCTAATGCTGCGACCCTTTAATACAGTTCTTCACATCATGGTAACCCCCAACCATGAAATTATTTCCTTGCTACTTCATACCTGTAATTTTGCCACTGTTACGAATCATAAAAATTTTTAGAAAGAAGTCTGTCAAAGAGGTCGTGACCCACAGGTTGAGAACCTCTTGCCCTAGAGGGAGGAAGAGCAGAGTCTGTGTGAAGCCCTGGAGAGTCAGCACCCAGTGGGCAGCCACACTTGGGTGGCTCAGTGAGCAGGGACTCTGGCAGGCCTGTCCTGGAAGAGTTGGTCAACAGTCTGTTCCAGACAGGACTTAGTGCTCAGAGTCAAGGCCCTGGCCTTGGTAATGCAACAGGACCAGAAGCAAGGCTTCCCAATTATCCGACCATCACACCAATCTGAGTATCTGCTGCTAGGGGAAAACCCGGAGAAAACAGAGTACTGAGTGGATGTGGGGAATTTGCTTGTTAGAGACAGAACCTCGATCCATAGTGTTATGATTGTTCCTCACTTTAAGAGGCAAGCCACGCCCACTCCCTGCGGCCCCGCCCCTCCTCTCGCCATCTTGATTCTCTCTCTATTCTCTTGGGCCTTGCACGCTCCCCTTCTGCCCCCTTCTTCTCTCTCTCTGTCCTCTTTTTCTCTTCCCTTTCTCTCTCTCTCTCTCCTCACTTTCCCCCTCCCCTTTACCCTTCCCCTCCATAACTCAACTAATAAACATTTAACCTCATTCTACATGTCATGTCTATCCATGTTTCTGTCTCCTGCCCGCCCACCATGTGTCTCCCTGCCTGGGACCAGCCACCGCTCGAGCACCGGCAGCCATCCCTGCCTGAGACAGGCTGCTCCCAGGGCCTGCTGCCTGCCGCCACATGGCCCGCTACCACCATTTGGGGACCTACAGCATTTCTGCTGCCTACTGCCGCTGGGAATCTTGCAGCATTTTTAAAAAATCATAACTCCATTCTGCTACGGTTGCTTCCCTTAACTGGAATCGTGTTTGGACTGACCCAGGGTCAGTCAACCTGCGTTAGCACTGCACACTCCCCGTACAGTGCATTCGACTGGGGACCCAGGGTCCCCCAGTTTCTTCATCTTTTTTTTTTTTCATTTCTTCTCTTTTCTTTTTTCTTCCCTTGTCATAAAATGCCTCTCGGAGCGGTCCCAGGCCTCTCTGGTTTCTGAGTCACCTGACCAGATCTAGGCCATAACACCCCACTCTCAGTCAGAGGACGCTCGTCCACGAGTCCTGGGGGTTCACGCCGATTTGCACCCCACCTATACGGGAAGACAGTCCCTTGAGGTGCTGCTGTTCCGCGGGTTTTCACGATTTTGGCTGTGGATAGCAACCACCGATGGCGGCTCCCTGGCTTTTTTAAATTCCAGCTGGCTTTTTCAATTCCAGCCGTGGCATGATGCAGTTTTTTCAGTTCCAGCCTTTTGCTAACCACCGTGGTTTGTGGCATGGTGCAGTTTTTTTGGTTCCAGCCTTTTGCTCCCCTCTGCGGCTTGTGCTGTGGCATGGTGGCTCAGCAACAGAACAGATCACGCCTTTAGGTCCCTCTTATTAAGCTTAAAATCCTTACAGCTGCCGCCATTTTGATTGGGGTCAGGTAACTTTGTCGCCATCTTAGCTGAGGGTCAGGTCAGGTGACCAAGTTCTGCCATCTTTACTGAGGTATTACCTGCCTGGTTCCCCAGTGTTAACTTTGTTACGTGGGTGACCTTACCACCATCTTGACTAAGAGCCAGGTCAGGTGACCAAGTTCTTCCATCTTTACTGAAGTATACCCTGCCTTGTCCCCAGGTTTTCACTAAATTCCTCTTGTTGACTCTGTTACATGTGTTTTGCGCAGTGGCATGCCTTTGGTAGAGCCCACCAAGAGCATCCACGTTGCCCAATTCCTGTTCACTCTTTCTGTGTATAATAATCGTTCATTACATCTCATTTCAGACTACAAAGTCAATAAGTCTCATGTTTTAAACTGGTATGTACTTTTAATTCTCTTACAAAAATGCCTTATATTTAGTCCAACCCTCATTTAAAATATTTTAAGCTGTTCTCTACTATTGTCAGTTCTGCCATTAACCTTCTGTTGAAAGCAGTTTCTTCTTTCTGTCTTTTTACGAGTGTAAATCTTACCTGTTAAGCTAAGAGCCAGTACGGTCAAGTTCAGAACCAGCTCTCCAGGTGGATTCTATACTGTAGTTATACATAATAAACAGCCCTCAACTGCTCAGAGATCTGGGGAATGTGATAGTTAAATATTTACTTATTAAAAACTTTTCATAACAAAAAGAGACAGGTTGGCTCCTAGCAGCAGCACTCTACTTCCTCCAAAGAAGACAGAAGACAAATGGACACAAAACAACGTCCATCCACAATTCTCTTCAACTGTCAAGCACTGACCATTGGGCAAAACTGCCTTTCATCTAAACTAAAGATCTCCAGATGTGGACAGAATCGCTGGAATCAACAGCCTAGCTGCTCAGGCCAAGGTAGGCCTGTCTTCCTACAGATTTCTTAGCCCACAGGATCTTCTGGAACCTGGCAGGCCCTGAGCTAAACAGCAAAAGTCAAATGTGACCTTCAGTGACCATGGAGGACCCTAAAAGAATAGCCCTGGGTGCCAACCAAGTAAGTTCTCTGTCATTTTTTAAACAGTAACTCAAGTAAAATCTTATCCTTCTGAAAGATCTCTGGTACAGTTTGATAGCTGAGAGGTTTTGCCAGGTTTAAAAACAACAACAACAACAACCTCACCAAACAAATTTCAAATCAAATTTCTCTCTTATGCTGCCTTCCATAGTCTTAAAAAATACTTTTCATTGTACAAAAATATGTCACAGAACAAAATATGCCACAGTCATTATGTGTCTAAAACTTCTGTTTTCAGAAACCCAAGGAATTCTCATGAGTTCAGGGAGCCGAATTAAAGGATCCACATTAAACAGGTCAGATACATCCCCCTCAACTCCCTTGTCCTAAAATTTTTTTTCCCTTAATTTAACTTTGTTCTTTGTTCTGCCAATACCTTAAACAGATATAAGAGACACCAGACATTTTCATGCCACAAACACCAGACAGAAGCAAAGAGACCAGCTATGCCAGGATGTGGCCAGCACCCAGCCTTCTCAGGTCCCCCCCTTCAAAGACAACACCCACAAATAAGCCGGAAGCAGTCTTGAGAATTCACCGCCCCAATTCTGTCAAACTGTGGTGTCTAATCTCCTGCTTTTTATTATAAAAAGGAGCTGGGAATGTTATGATTGTTCCTCACTTTAAGAGACAAGCCACGCCCACTCC